CAAAATCCTACGGTCAAAGAAATCATATAAATCTTGCAAATGAGATGAACCCTAATATTAGAAGTTAATTGATAAATTCAAGCTTTCTTGGGAGATTTAGTTGCCTTTGATGGAGATTTCGATTCTTTAGAAGAGGCATTTTCAGTCTTCTTTGGGAGAAGAACAGGGTTAATGTTCGGTAAAACGCCACCGTGAGTAATAGTAACGCCGGCGAGAAGCTTTCCCAGTTCTTCGTCGTTCCTCACGGTGAGTAGAAGGTGTCTTGGGATGATCCTGTTCTTCTTGTTGTCACGTGCTGCGTTTCCGGCCAATTCTAGAACCTGGATTCCCAATTCAAAACCGAATTACGAACTACAAATAACAACAATTAACTTATGCGATGACTTGCTCTAGCTTTCAGTTACCTCGGCTGCTAAGTACTCGAGAACAGCGGCGAGATAAACCGGAGCTCCGGTTCCGACACTCTGCGAATACCTTCATTTCTTTAAGTAGCGGCCGATCCTTCCGACGGGGAATTGGAGGCCAGCTTTGATGGACCTTGAAACTAGCTTCTTCTTTGGGCCGCCGCCTTTTCTTCCACCAGCACCTTTCTGTACTTTAACTCCGGCATCCATTGCTAGAGACAGACGTGAAAAAAATGATTTTAACGCTTCAAGAAGTATAAAATTCTCAGCTTTGACAAATCGCGGTGCAGAAAATAAAGCGAGATTGGCACGTTTTGTAGCGGTAGTTTAGGCGGGGTGCAATGAGAGGGGACTGGGACCCGTTAGATTGTGCACTTATCGACGGTTGAAGATCCTTTAGAGACGATCCGTGTTGTTTTCAATAACACCAATGAGAAGTGTGAACACTCCAACCAAACATATCAAAAATATTTAGATGCTTACATTAATTTGTATTTCAATGCTAATTCGACATGGAATATTAATATGTCAGAAACAAATTATATTATTCAAATTTTCATGTTATAAGTAAATTAAAGACTTAAATATATTATTGTCTCCTAAAGTATACTATTTGTATTAAATTGTCCTCTAAAATATTTTTTCAAATATTTTATTTTTTAAACTTTAAATCGTTATCTCATTTACTCTAAATCGTTAACTCCGTTAAAGTAAAAAATCAACACGCCGCTGAGAGGGCAAACGACTGGAGAGAAAGAAAGCCTAACCTGGGTATGGCGAAATGCGACGACGCCGGAGACGAAGAAGGCACGGCGCAGTGAAGGAGATGGCTACTGGTGTTTTCTGGGTAAATTGTAATCGGAAAATCGTAGACAAATCAATAAGGAAGAATGGCTAGGGCTTCAGGAGTTTTAAAACTGGCTTTGCGACGTTTAACATTACAAACGCCGCTGATGTGTAAATAATTGCGGCGTTTTTAATTAAAAACGCCACGTTTGTTAAAATCAATTGCGGCGTTTACAGAAAAACGCCACTAATGTATGACCCATTTGCGGCGTTTCTTGTAAAACGACACTATAAGCAACTCTATTGCGGCGTTTATATAAAAACGCCACTAATGTACGACCCATTTGCGGCGTTTCTTGTAAAACGCCACTATAAACAACTCTATTGCGGCGTTTATATAAAAACACCACTAAATTACTACTCTATTGCGGTGTTTTTTTAGAAAACGTCACTATAAACAACTCTATTGCGGCGTTTATATAAAAACGCCGCTAAATTACTACTCTATTGCGGTGTTTTTTTAGAAAACGTCACTATAAACAACTCTATTGCGATGTTTATATAAAAACGAAGCTAAATTACCACCCTATTGCGGAGTTTGTTGAAAAAACGCCGCTACATCCTTAAATTTTGTGGCGTTTTCCCTAAAAGCGCCGCTAAAAACGCCGCTGCATAACACTTTTGCTGTAGTGCAACTACGAGATGTTATCAAAGATTTTACATTTTCAGGGATATAAGAACTTCTCCACTTATTCAAAATTCGAACTTCTGTGCTTAAAGTTGAATCTGAAGCAACCAGTTGCAGGGGCGGATGCATATGGCCACATAGGGGTCAAATGCACACCCATTATTTTAGATTAGATATTCAATATAGTTCAATATATTAAAATAAGAAAAAAAAGAAATTTTGCATACCCATTATATTGAAAAGAAGACTATTAAAATTTTTAGACCCCATATCTAAATTTCTGGATCCGCCACGGAACAGTTGTGAGGGGCACAATCAATATATCTCGAGCAAGATGAAAAAGCTTTCCATATCGATGCTCATTTTCTTTCCAAAAATTAAGGATGCTTAGAAACACTTTCCTATCCATTTTAGGATCCTCTAAATAAACATCAAATTGTATGTTTGTGCAATAAGAAAACATAGCCTCTTTCTTGTCATAGTCTTAGAAAAATATAAAACAGAGAATAAAAAATAAAAGGAAAAATAAACAAATATATAAAAGAAAAATAAAATAAAATAAAATAAAATAAAAATTAGAAAAAAAAATTAAAGATTTGTAAATAAAATAAAAACAAATGCATAGTAAACCTAGAAAATAGTAAAATAAAAACAAACTATAGTGAACAAAGAAAAAGTGAACATAGTAAAATACCCCGACAGAAAATGAAAAAAATAAATAAAAGTAAGAATACAAAAAAATCAATATAGATATAATATATGAAAAATAGAATACAACAAATGCATAAAAAAACTAGAAAGTAAAAAAGAGAATACATGTTATAGAAAATAGATAATAAAAATAACATACATAAAATTAAAAACAAAAATAAGGAAATAGAATAAAGAAAATAAATACGAAAACAATAAAAAGTTAACAAAACAAGAAACTTACTGCAAAAAAATCAAATTTACGCTTGTGATTTTCAGATTATGTCATTGTTTTCAAAACTGGGTCATTGCTTCTTGTCAACGCTCTCAAAAGTATAATTTTTTCAAACATTACCAAAGTACAAATTTGCATTAGTATAATCACTTCCTGAAAATAACTCAGCAATATCAAAAAAATGTTTCTAAAATATCTCAAATTTTCTCAACCATTTCCCACTCTTTGGTGTCTGGACAATGGTGGAAAGAAGAATCAATAACAACCATATGCTTTCACGGTATAAAATAGCCAGAACACTTTAGTTTCTTCTATCATTGCTAATTTTACGCTGTGTTGAAAAGTATTTTTTTCTTGATTATGACCATTTAGTATACTTCACACAATCTCGTATCTTGATAACAATATGTTCAATGACCTTAAATTTATCCTTAAAAATGAGATTAAATACATGTGCAACACATAGAACATGAAAATAAGCCCCTCTATATAACATGGTCCCTCGAGCATTAAAAGTATCATTCAAATCATCTTGAATTTATAATTAATTGAAGCATGTGACAGAAAAAAATCTTATATTCTATACTCCAATCCTAAAGTAAGTCTAGCAAAATACTATAAATATTATTCCTAGTGTGCAGTGAATCAATGTGACAGAGATCATAAATCAACATTGCTTAAGGTGAGAACTAACTTGTAAATAGAATAATATTTCGTATTTTAGTGCCTAATAATTCAATAATCATGAAGACATGACAATTAAAGGGTGAAGATTGATAATGGCGAAGGTTGAAACTGAGAAAATACCTGACGTAATGACGTTGGCTGGTTTTAGGTCTCTGACTGCTTGTGACGAGTGATGGTGAGGGACGATGGAAGCACCGCAACAATGAGTGAGTGAAACTGCGAGAAAGGTAACCGACCATGAGTGAAGGAACTAGGGATTGTAAATTTGCAATTTGAAATTGGAGACCAAGATTATAATGAAATGGCAGTGAGGTAACGTGTTTTAATAAAATAATATGAAAATTAAATTAAATTAGTATATATATATTACTATGTATTTTTTAAATATGATACGGTTATAATAAAAGTAAAAACTATTGAGGGCTAATATTACAATCAATCCTAAAATTTATTAGGATTTATAAAGTTATTATTATACTTCCAAAAATTTCACTTTGATCTTCAATTTTAGATTTTAATGATTTATTGATTCGATTGATTTAAATTAAAACTTCTAGCCTCGAAATTAGGATTCAACAATATATTGTCACATAAAATTCCTGAACCACAAGTAATATAGAGTAGCATCGACGATTATGACGATTAAAAACGACGGAGGTTGAGGAATTAAACTAAAAATCTAAAAGTTTACTTGAACCGAAATAAACCTAAATTGACCCGAACCGAAACCAATTGATCGGATATTGACCTGAATTGAAACCAACTGATCAGATATTAACCCAGCCCGAAAGCCAACAGTTCCAATTTTGACCTGACCCGAAAATCAAGCGATTCGATTTTGGCCCGAACCGATACTTGACTTGAACTAAACCCGAACTAGATTCAATTCGATTCGATCTGAACCGAACCTAAATCAAATGCAACCTGACCCAAAGCAACCCAATCTGAAATGATTCAATCTGAATGATCCAATCCGAATGATATGATTGTCACCTTTACCTGGAGATGGAGAAGGAGATGTTTTAATTTATATAAAAAATAATGAATCCCCCCATATATATACCTTAGATGCAAACTTGATATCAACTAATGATTTCATATGAACATACCAACACAAAAAACATGACACAATCAAAATTATCTGACTTTGTTGACTCTGTCGATACCCGCATTCAAATGTGGTCCAAATAAGACAGTTACACATGTTGATGTTTGAGTCAGAAATTGCCAATAAGAAATCTCAGTTAAGTTTTACTCGTGTAGCATAGAATGCAGGGGATACAGTTGCTCACCCATTACGAAGAATTCTCATATCTAAAACAATGGTTCATACTCTCATGACTCCACCTTTCTTCTTGATAAATACCATGAACGTTTACTTTCCATCGTAACAACCAAAAAACAAAGAGGCCTATCATCTTAGATCATGTTCTAAAATTAATCAAAATATTAATTCCATAATTGGCTGAGAGTGCCAAATATTTCAAACTTAAAGCACTAGCAATGACCCTACCGAGAGGAGAGCCCTTGTCTATTTCTAATGATGCCAAAATCCTTTCATCTATTAAATAAAAAAAAAGGAGAACAAACATTTAACAAAAGAAAAAGGCATTTACTTTCTTGCTTTTTCCATTACGATTCCTAACAAAATAGCCAAAGTCACTACAATTGCAACCAACATTTGTCCACATTACCTTGCATCATCTTCATCAACCAAAGCAAACCCATCTGATCTAAGAAGAAAACTCCTCACAGATTTACACCCCCCAACACACACACACACACACAAATCAAACCCTAAAACATCCGACATGATGATGAAGGGGCTTTTCGCTATCAATCAAGCACCGTACATTCCTAAATTGTTCAACATGACAAGGGATGGTGATGGTCCCCTTCTGGTCGAACCCGTACTCATCCTCGGCTTCTTTCAACAGGTGAAGGAACAAGGGATGATTAAAGTACATAACAGGCACCACAAATCTCTGCTGCTCCTCCCCTTGTGACCCCACCCTTATCGCCAAACACCCCTTCGGCACATCCCTCGTTTGCTTCTTCCCTTGATGCGGTAAATGAAAGTTCCTCCAACTTTTCTCTCCACTACCCATTTCTCCTACACTAACAAAGAAGAAGAGTTTATAAAAACAAAACAAAACAAAACAAAGAAGAAGAGTAGGGGGTCCTTCGCAAAGGGTTGTTGGAAGATATATAGTATGTGACAAACTTTGGGACGTTATTGAGAACCCAACGTCAACATGGTAAACTTGAACCAACCAAAACTGAGGTCAGAAGATTAAAAATACAGAGAAAAAAGGTTTATCTGATTCGGAAAGCACTAGGGTTTTGTTGTTTGTGTATAAGTTGATTCCTAGACGTTTGATTTAAAGGGAATCAGATGGAGATGATAAAAAGGAGAAGATTGATTAGTCTGTTGTTGTAACGGACGAAATGGCTAGGAATGGCAAACCGTGGATAGCGAGATGGACACGTGGATGGTGAGTGAAGAGCTTCCACACACGACATGCAAGATGTCGTTTTGACTATAAGATAAGGATTATCTAAAAACCGATAACTTAATATCAGTCTTTTGCTCCTCTACTTATGATGAGTGAGAATGCTTTTATTTGACGGTTTCAATTCCACTCAACGGACTATCAAACGACAGTGGATTGAGTGATGATACAACTGAATGCGATATTAGATATTAGGGTTTCAATAGGAAAAAAAACAAAGATATTTATGTGATGATTTAACGAGTTCATTTTATTTCACTTCTGTTATAAATGGGATTTTTTTTATATTTTATAAAAATTTAATCTGTTATATATTTATTTGAATTTTCAAAACTAAATATAAAAACTTTTAATATATATATATATATTTGAGAAAATAACCTCAGTGACCGAAAATACCTTATAATATACGATTTTGACCAACTTTTTTTAGATTTGCCAAAATGACCATAAAATCACAACACGAACTCTAATTTTTCAACTCAGTTTCCAAATTCGCAACGCGAATATCCAGATTCGCAACGCGATTTTGAAAAATGTATTGCGATAGTTAAAATGTGTTGCGATAGTTACAATGTGTTGCGAGAGTTTAAAAAACGTGTTGTTGCGATAGTGAAAAAGTGTTGCGATAGTGAAAAATCCAAAATAAGTTTACATTTTAACTATTCCAAATTCACGTGGAGTTTGAAACAATAAAGAATGTGTTGCGATAGTGTAAAAGATTCCCAAGCCATTTGTAAGATCTTAGTTTGAAACAATAAAGAATGTATTGCGATAGTGTAAAAGATTCTCAAGTGTTTGCAATGCTAAATCCCACATAGTATTGGAAACACTATTGAGAATGAGTATTTAAGGCTTGGATTTCCCACTTCCATGTTGAGTGGAAGAGAACAAGGGGGACTCTCGCGCACCGCTGCCGCCGCCGTCCCGTCGTGGTCGTGGTCGTGGTCGTGATCGTGATATTTTAACTATAAAATATTTTCGGTCACTGAGATTATTTTCACTATATATTTTAAAGTTTTATACATATGTTAATCTGTGAATTTATGAAGTGATCGTTATCATCTACAATGACTGACAGTAAACCCAAAAGACAAAATAAAAGCTCAAATTGATGCCAAATTTACCAATCTCAAGTCCAAAGGTTACTAAAAGCTTTGTAACCGTTTGATTTGGATCCAATCCAGGTCTAGATTATCTATGCTGAGCAATAATGTAGAGGTTCCATTAAAGCTTCTTTTGTTTTTTTAAATATATTGACCTTATTAAATATCCCTCCTATCAATAAAAGCTTAAGATCCTATAAGAGAAAAAGAGCACCGACCAATCTATTAATTATGGAGAAAAAAAATCAGTCATTACATCTTTAGTAATAAACTCGGGATAACCAAGTCAAAGAAAAAAGAGACATGTGACTTGAGTGCTCTCTGAGCGAGAATGTGAGCCACCCTATTTGTCTTTCTACGAACAAAAACCACAGTACAATTACTACGAATAGATCACATATGAACCCTTAACATAGAATCATCAAGTTTCGTACTATTGAATTTATTAACCATCATAGTAGAGTCGAGCTTGAAGATAACATGTTGTCATCCTTCTTCTAACGCCAAGTTGATAACAGCGACAAGTTCATGACGTTTAGCAAGTTCGGATTTGAAACAACTAGCAGATGGAATAGCCAAACCACCAAGCACTGCACTCATTCCATCACGTGCAGTGACTACTACAATGACAATCTTAGAAATGTGATCGAAGGCGCCATCGGCATTAATTTTGATCACCCCACCATTTGGAGGACTCCATCGATCAAAAACACGATGTCGACGAACATTAGTGTTGATCATAGTATTAAATTGCGGCCGTAAAGCAGTGTAACGGCCGCATCGTAACAGTTTTGAAGGCCACCGTGACGCAATATTATAGCAACGCAACTGCCCGTGACAGCCGCAACATGTTAAAAAATCACGCCCGCTACAGCCGCAACATGCTACATAACGTTCGCAGCATCCGCAACCACGACAGATGCTGCAATTGCTATTTTATACTATGGTGTTGATATTTCTGTAAGCAACAAGAAACTTACGGTGCAACATACGGGCATTAGCAACCAGCACCCAGGTAGGTTGGGAACGCCCTTCATTAACTATCGAGTTCCACAACAGCATCAGGAACCTGCAAACTCCACAAGACCAAGTGTAGCAAGAACAATTTCTAACCATATAAAAGGGGAAGTACAAATAGTAGAGAAAACTAAACCTGGGAACCGACAAATCGCAATACCTCTAACGCCAAGGGCTAGTCCCGAACAACATGCATTGTCTTTTCAATATCAACCTTGCACAGGGGACACAGCCCGTCTCCATGAACAACTGCTCGTATCCTAGCTCCGATTGGAAGAGCCCCATGGGTAAAACGCCATACAAAATACTTGCTTTGGGAGTACTTTCAGTTTTGGCCATGGATTTCCAAAGTTTGGATATTGTCTCCGAGGTGTGGGTTACCTTTTGTAGCGACCAGTATGTTGACCGCATGGAGTAGCTGCTTGAATCATGATTTTCACATACAATACTATCATTATAACAAGGAGCAATTGGAACATGAAGCACTATTTCAGCATCCTGGGCAATGAAAATCTCTAAAACCTATGCCCTATCCCATTGAGGTTGGTTATGTTGCATGAAGTCTCCACACCGAGCCTCATGCATCGAGGCATTGCTATAGGTACCTGCTAGCGTTGTTAACATAGTGCCTACCCACTTATCCTTAAATATATGTGCAACACTATAACATCCAACACGCCAGAACAAAGATTTAGATAAAGCGTTTAATGCTTTATGAATCCATTTCCATGCATACGAGCTCTTGCTACCTATTTTAGCATTCAACACATTCGCATCAGGGTAATACTTTGCGCGAAGCACTCGAGCAAACAACAAATCCGATACCTTGATGAGCCTCTACACCCGTTTACCTAGCTTGGCTATATTAAATGAATGGAGATCTCGGAGTCCTAGACCACCCACACCCTTGGGTTTACATATGGTAGACAAAGCTAGAAGGGGCCAGCCACATTCTGAGATTTTCCTTGTCCACCAAAATTGACGCACAATCTCAGTAATTTCAATAAGTAAATGCTCAAGCAATAAATACGAAGTCATAGTGTGTTGGAGTAACGCTTGAGCAACAACTTTAAGGAACACGTCCCTTCCTTCGTAAGATAATAATTGCTTAGTCCATCCAATGACTCTAGTATTGACTTTGTCACGTTAGTAACCGAAATTTCTCGTTTTTTTATCGATGTGTAACGGGAGACCAAGATAGTGTCCAAGGGAGTCTACCACCTGAATACCAAAGATATTCGTCATTCTAGTGTGATGAGCATTAATTTTATTCAAACTAAAATAAATCATGAATTTATAGAGATTAATCCTTTGCAATGACTATTTAGCATAAATCCCCAAAATATTTTTAATATAATTAGCCTCAGAAATGGAGTTTTTAAGGAGTACCAAGCTATCATCCGTAAACAAGAGGTGGCAGACACGAAGCCCATTCTGAGAAGCTCGAATGTCTTTGATGCCTCTGATAACCAAGCTTTATGAAATAGTGATGATAAGCCTTGTGTCACAAAAAGAAAGGAGGCAGATAACGGATCTCCCTGACGGAGACCTCGACTAGGGATGAAATCTCTTGTTAATGAGCTGTTAACTCGAGTTGTAAAGAAAACAGTGGTAACAGACTTAATAACTAAATCAATAAACATAATTTTAAAGCCAAGCTTTATCATGGCACTTTGAAGGAAGACCAATTCAACTCCATCATAAACCTTTTCGACATCGAGTTTAAGTGTTGTGACGTTATTAATACCATTCTTGGATGAGTTCATATAATGCAACAACCCATGTGCCATCGGGAAATTGTCAAAATTTTTGACAAGTGACCAAAATGTAAATTTTGAAAAGTTTTGTTGTTAAAATAGAAATTTGGGAAATATTTAAGGACCAATGTGGTAATTTTCCCAAAAAAAAAATTCTTTCATAAATGAATTGTTCATCCTTAAGAATGGATTCTCTATGGAATTCATATTTTCATATGGAGACTGTGTAAAAAACTAGGAAGCAATAAATTTCAGTAAAATATTCAAATATTTAGATCGAATCAGAAGTTTACGAAAATTTGAAGGATAATAGTATGAGGTTAGTAATATTATTCTGATATTTTTAATCAGTAGAATTTAAAATGGATCAATGGAATTAAGTGACATGATATAGGACCATTTTGGATGTTCTTGAAATGTTGGGATAATTTTCAAAGAAATATTTATTGGTGGCTAAATGTGGAGTATTAAAAAGTTAAGTTAATTATTGTGATATATAACTATTTAAAGGACTTGATAGGGTATTTTGATAGAGTTAAAGTTAGTTTTCTGTTTAGTGAAAGAGATTAGTATCGAACATACATTCATGACATTTTTATACGAACCCAAGCTTATTATACTAGTTAAAGTACTAATATATGTTTGAAATTGTATATGTCGGGAAAATGATTTTCTTGTAGATTGTGATCGTAATCAAGAGCGAAGATAATAAAAAGCGAGGGATGTAGTAGAAGAGTAAAAGCAAATGTAGTAATAAAGCGTTAGTGAGACATCATCTGAGTGCATTTTACTTATTTTATATAAAATATGAGGACGACTTGTGATGAGCTAACCTCTAATGTTTT